CTTCCTTTTAGTTCTTGGGGTGATAGTTGTGTGGACAGGGGGCCAGTTTTGGAGTCCTGATGTTACACGTCAGATCTACTGGTCATTAGATCTATACCCTTGCGCATATCCTAGCTACTCAGGAAGCTGCCACCTGGAAGATTTCAGCCCGGGGTGGGGGGAATCCCAGCCACAAGGCCAGACTTAGCAGAAAAACCTGCGGGACTACCCATCTCCAAAATAACCGACAAAAAGTCAGGTTGGATGCATGGCTCCAGAGGTAGAGTGGCAGGATTGTAAGAAAGCCTAGCAAACACAGGACCCTGAGATCAAATCTTGGTACCACAGCAAGTCTCGAACTCCAAATTTCATCCCTCTCCCAATTTTCCAAAAAGTTCTCATTCCTCTAAACTTCATAGCCCTCTGATCTTACAAATTTTTATAGTTTCTTTCACTCATATACATGTGTTGAATCTTCAAGCAATTTGTAAGGAATTAAATAGTAAAAATTAGTATCTTCTTGAGCTTTTAATAATTGGGTAAGATGGTATCATCTAATTATCCATTGGTTCCACTTGGCTAGTCCAAACCAACTATATGTCTAGAATGTATTCATTGTAGGCCTAAAATAAGAGTCTCAAATCTAACAGAGTAATCTGTCTCCTCCTCTGAAGATATTTATCCACTTGAAAATATTTTACATGACAAGACAAAATTTGGCAAAGGTTCAGATCTCACATACTTCTGTACAAGTATGGTTTACTATTTTCTTCCTTTATATGTTATGTTGCATAGATCAAAATTCCAGTCTCCGCTAATCTTTATTTCTTGGGCTCATTTTAATAAACGAAAAATAGCTTACCTCTGCAAGTCCAGCATGTGTAAAGCTCTTACATTGCCCACCTAGTTTTCATTCAACTTTGACACTATTTTCAAAACTACTCAGTGTAGTTAAGATTTCCATTTCAGAGCTTGCTGGGTAGTTTTTTCCATCAAGAACATTGGTGTATATGGTACAGGCACTACTAATATGGAGCCAAAAGTAGAACTGACCAAGGGCAGTCAGACATATAGAAAGGAAAAGAATTTAGAATAAATATTTTTCTTTTTTGATTGGTCATGAGGCTTGAACTCTGGGTCTGGGTGCTGTCCCTGAGCTCTTCAGCTCAAAGCTAGCACTCTACCACTTTAGCCACAGCACCACTTCTGGTTTTCTGGTGGTTTTATTGAAGAGTCTCCAGGATGTTCCTGTTGGGGTTGGCTTTTGAACCGCGATCCTCAGATCTCAGCCTCCTGAATAGCTAGGATTACAGGCGTGAGCCACGGGCACGCAGCTAAAAATCTGTTTTTGAGGTATTATACATTACCTTCTTTAGACCTCATGAATAAGATGTTCTTTACTAATGAATCACAAGAAAGTGAAAGATTTTGTCTCAGGACCAACTTTATGCTAGACAACAGCAGTGGTAGAAGGCTAACTAAAGTGATATGCTGAAAATTATATACTTAACACTTCATATTGGTTAAGGTACCTCTTAAAGAGGATATTAAAGTCATGAGGCTAAATGTTTCAGGGGATCATTTATGATGCTACTTTTAAAGGTACCTATTATATAAAACTCAAATTGAGGCTGAGTGCAGTGGCTTGTGCTACTTGGGAAATGGAGATTGAAGGATCATGGTTCAAAGCCAGCCCAGCAAAAAGTTCAGGAGACCAAGAAGTGTGGCAGGCACACCTGTAATCCTAGCTATGCAGGAAGTATAACACAGGAAGACTGGGATTGCAGTCTAAGGCCGAGAATAAAAGGCCTAAGACCCTATCTAAAAAGTAACTTAAACAAAAAAAGGACTAGAAGCATGTGTCAAGTACAAACACAGGTCTTAAATTCAATCCAAGGTGGGAAAATCTCAGTAGTGATAACCAGTTGTTTTCTTTTCAAATCATGTACTGTCATTAACATTGAATATTGTCTCAAAGGTCACATATTCATGCTTTCCCCCAGTTGAAGGCAAAGTGCACTATGTATGCCAAGGGTTATATAACTACAATTTCTGGAAATGGTAAACAGCTGAGACTAACCCTAAAAATAAATTCTTCCGGGATTTTTTTGGTGCAAAACCCCATCTGCCCTCACCACAGGTTCATCATTATAAAAATCAGTTTTGATCATGCCAAGAGGTGGAAGTCTTTAGAATCCCTCCTTTCGCTGCTACAAACCCAAGAGTTTTCCTACTCTTCACTACAAAATAGGAATAAAGTCTGGAGATGGAAAATTCATGTCTATCAGACTTTAGCAGATGAGCCACGGAGACATAATTATTTAAAGATAGTCCCCACTCCTTAACAAAATCACCTGGAGGTCTAAATTCATTGCTATTCTTTCAAACATTAAGCAAACTTAGGTTTTCTTTATTTTAGGTCCAAATAAACATTATTTACCTGGCTTCAAGATTTTGGTTTTCTTTTTCCTTTAGTAGGATGGAGCTCAAAGCCATGGCCTCACACAGGTTAGGCCAATGTTCTACCACTAAGTTACACTCCAACCCATTAAGCACTTTTTTTTCCAAATATGGAGACACAGGGCAATGGGGGGAAGGGAGATCACAGCATGGAAAACACTTATGAGATTCAAATAATTTGATCCTACTGGATTAATGTTCAAACCTGAGCACAAGTCATTCTGCTGTTAGGTAAATATCTTGTGCCTATTTACTAGCTAAACTTTTTCATTGCAGCTATTAATTTTCATCTAATTACACTGTTGATGAAGGTGTCAACTAAATTTAACATTAGAAACAGATGAATTTTAACTAAGCCAAATAGAAGACATGTTTATGGAAATGTTACTTATCAAACAGTGCCAAAGGGCATTTCTGCATAAACTAGATAATGACCAAGGCCAACACCTTGTTCATTTTCAATCAAGAGACAGCCACATCTTCCCCTTTCTCAATTAAGGGACTGTCAAGGATCATCAGAGTAATAATAAATAACAGCTTTCAAAAAATAATTCATATAAAGCCAGGCATAGTCATACATACCTGTAAGCCTGGCTGTTTGGAGAAAAGAAGCAGGAGGCCCAGACTGAGGCTGTGCAGACAAAAAAATCCAAACTAAATTTGGAATCAAACTAAAGCAAAAGGTGCTGTTGGCCTGGTTCAAGTGATAGAGCACTTGCTAGGGAAATATAAGGCCTTGAGTTCATCAGTACACGCACGTGAACGCGCGTGAGAGAGAGAGAGAGAGAGAGAGGGAGAGAGGGGGAGGGAGAGAGAGAGAGAGAGAGAGAGAGAGAGAGAGGGACAGAGTTAATTCATTTGAAATAGCCATAAAATATACTTCATTTTGGCTGGTCAGTCCTTCTCATTCCCAGTCACAGATACATTTGACCACTTTGCAAAAAGCAGCTTATAATTAAAGCCCTGCTACAGCTCTTAATACACATCTTACCTTGGTGACCTTGCTAAGAGAACTCACCTACGTGGAGAAGATAAGCATGAATGTAATCTTATTTAAAACTACCAACTGCCCTAAAGACTTTTTTCCTTTCTTGTGATACTTCTGTATAAAAGGGACATTAGCAAGTGCATTTAGCTCATCCAAGGCTTCTAATTCACTGGTAAGAAGCAAGGAAGCAAAGTTTAAATCATTGAGTATTGACTTTTTATTATCAGTCACTGTTCATAATTTGTTTCAACCAAAAGACAATACACACAGCAGAAATCTAATGCATCCCATGTAAATGTTTACATCCATTTTATTCCTCACTCGCCTCTAAGACTTATCATTTAATTTTAAATTTTTTTTACATCTCAAAAATATGTCTGCAATAATTAGAACTTCATTAGCCGTTCCACTTGGAAACAGCCTTTTAATATTTTTACAGTAAAGAAGATGTGATGAGGCTTAATGAAAGTGTAACTTACAACATTATGGAAGAAAAAGGGACCTAACAGGACTACAGTGGGAGTTCACAAAGGAAAGTGATCAGAAGCTCTTTCCCATGAGATTCCCCAAATAAAAACAAAAACAAAACACACAAAGCACAAACATAGGTTCATGGGGGGGAGGGGGGGAGCAAGTTCCATCACTCCATCTTGAAGCCAGAATCAGCCTCGTGAAAGTTGGCAAAGCAACTGTGCAGAGCTGCTTCAGTATTTTCTTTGTGTCAGTGTTCCAAGGTCTGGAAAACTGTTTGTGGGACCCCCACTCATTGCTATTGCTTTGAAAACATTCCATTTCTAACAGCAGCCCCACCCTTCAGAGCCAAAGCTGGTCAAAAGTGTTTCAAACTTCAGGACTTTCTGAACCAATTCTTCCTTCAATGATCCTCCCCACTCACAAACTAATGAATAACAAGGACATTAACAACCATTCCTGAACAACAGCTTGTGAATATCTGCTTTTTGCTCTCTACCTCTCAGTTTAGGACACCACAGTTAAAATACATTCACTAGGAAAAAAAAAATCCACATTCAATCTCCCTCTTTCCCCTAGTTCTCATGGCCCAACTACATTCCAATGTATAAGATAATAAAATTGAACTTCAAAAGCAGTCTTCCTTAACTCACAACCTCTTCTAGAAGGATACAAAATGAAAAGCATGTCATATACTAGATGGAAATACTCAAACTCTTAGTGCTGGACAATTTTATTAAACGTCTATCCTCATATACAACTCAGACAATTAAGGTGTACAAATCACACCTTTAACTTAGCAAGAGGAAAAAGCTCTCCCCTCAAATGTTCTGTTGAGGAATGTTTCTTTAAAATGAGAAAGACTGTAAAATTAACAGATGATCACTAGACTGTGTAAAATTTCCACCATTCAAGCCAGGCGGTGGTGGTTTACGCCTGTAATCCTAGCTACTCAGGAGGCTGAGATCTGAGGATCATGGTTCAAAGCCAGCCCAGGAAGGAAAGTCCATGAGACTCTTATCTCCAATAAACCACCAGAAAACCAGAAGTGGTGCTGTGGCTCAAGTGATAGAGCATTCACCTTGGGCTGAAGAGCTCAGGGACAGTGCCCAGGCCCAGAGTTCAAGCCCCAGAACCACCAAAAAACAAAACAAAACACCAAAAAACTTCCACCATTACCCAAACCACTTCAAAGTAACAGCACCAAAGCAATGTGGGAGGAGCTTCTCAGGGAAAGCACCCTTCTTACAGTTTTGTTTTGGTTTTTTTTTTGAGATTACTTAGATGAATTCTCCCTAGGATTACTTGAGGGTGGAGAAAATAACAGGATACAAACTATTCTCCAAAAGGGAAATGCTGAGGTACAAGTACATGTGAAATTGTCTAAGTGAGGGCTCACTGCTTATCACCCTGGGGTTTTCCCATGGTCACAGAAACCAGGCGTTCCTCCTTTACAATGGCTCTGAAGTTGTAAAAATCAGTCTGAATTTGCTCCCCCTTGAATGACTATATTTGGGAAAGGAATTACTGAAATGTGCAAGTGTTCACAGAAATTAAGAGATTTCTCCTTTTAGCTGCAAGGCCAAGAAAGAGAACTAATGCTGATCCTAGAAACTAAGGCACACTGAAGCTTTCCAAGATCCAATCATTTGAAAGTCTTCACAACCATCAGTATCCTAGGCAGTTATTTGGCTCCTAGTCCTTCAGTATGTATTGTACCAGGCTCAGTCTCTGAAATCATTTCAATCCTACACAGCACCCTTTGTGTTAAGGCCATGATATTTTATTCCTTCTAGACAAAGCCCTAGGTGATCATAAACACTCCCTCAAAACTCTGATCTGGCACTGTCTTATACCACAGTCTTGGCGCAGATTTCTCAAGAGAGTCAACCCACTTCAACAACAAGAAGAAACAAAACAAAAACACAAACGAACAGACAAAATAAAAAAAACCACACCTGAGCTGGTTGGTTAGCCACAAACACAAGGAAGAAAATAAAGCCTCTACACAAAGAGGAATGTTAAGACAAATTCTATTCAAGAAATCCACCAATATTATGTTAATCCTATCATGTTTCACAGCATTAAATATCCATCCAATGAAATCAATTTACGTGGAACCTTTAAAGGCTACTTTTCATTACACAGGCAGAGCAGTTGTGTGAAATATGCACTAGTCCAACACTTACTTTACTGAAAACAGGAGACATTGTCCTGTTTTGGACTCAGCCAACCAGTTACCCAATAGAGTAAGTTTCAGTAGCTTTACTCTTATACACTGATAAGCCCAGAAAGTTTCCCTTTTAGAGCCTTTAGTTCAACTTCAGTTTGTCAAATGTTAGACTAGTCTAGCATCTGATACAGTGCTAGGCTGACAAGACACTGAAGATTTTTAAGTAAAGGCTTGGTGGAATTGGGGGGAGAGGGGGAGAAAAAGATATCTGTATTTATGTTTAAAACTGAAGCCAAAGTAGTCATACTGTACAGTACAGTAACAGTTGCAAGCATTTTAAAAGGTAGACCCCACTTGTTTCTGTAGTATTTAAGACATGATGCTTGCATACCTGAAGGTATATAGTACACTCAATATGTACCACAGCAAGTCACCTTTTACTTCATTCCAGCAAGTCTTAAGCTTTTGTAACATAGGAATCCTTTCTAAAAATCGCTCAGCATTCTTACTAGTTTAAGAAGCTCAAGTCTTTAATGCAGGTATTATTCATGAGATTGGCCTCTTTCAAGAGACCAATTATTCAGCCTCAGGGAAGGGGCATTCCTACCCTATGGTGACCATAAGACTTCCTTAGGCAAGGGACAAGGAAGCTACAAGGCTTCACTCCAACACCATAAAGTACAATATAGGAAGAGTTCTTTAACCGCGTGGTCTTTATTTCAGTGCCAGTGTTACAGATACAACACAAATGTTCCAGTTAGAAGAAGGAATTCAAACGGAATGCCAAGGTCCAAGCCAGGCTCAGGAAATAAAAAGGGAGGACTGGAGTAATGGATGACTCCAATATGCTCCAGGATGAGTCTGATACTGCTCTTCCTGAGCACAAGTATTTTGTTAACGAGTCTGCTCTTTAAAACTGGTTAAACTCCTCTTTCTACCCATTCACCACAGTTCAAACAAGCAAGTGACAGGTTTGGGGGAAACTTTAAAATTTCTGGTTGAAATAGGGTCATTAATAACTATTAATGTATCTTTCAGAACATGTCCATTTGCACTTGAAAGGGAGTCAATTTTGAAAATCATGGAGAATGCTTAGGACTACAGCTAGAGAATGGAGAGAAAGGGAAGCTGGAAGAGCCTTGGAAGTTTCTATTACAAATAGAGCACCATATCCTTCATGCCAAATCTCAACAAAAGCTCTTTTTAACTGCATCTGTCCAGTGTTTATAAATAACCTCTCAAGGTCTGACCAGTTCTGGATAACAAACATACATACATGTGTGTGTCTGTGTGTTTACAGCAATGCACAGAAAAGGCTACCAGGAGCCTAATGCCTCTTTCAAACCTTGGGGGAACCAATAGAAAAAGGCAGGGCTCCCTAATGTTCATTGTTACATTTCCATTCCATATGCCAGATGTGAAAAGCGCCTGAAGATGGTAACCCAGCTAGTGAGGAATAAATTCCCCACCTTGCCCAGTCCGCAGAGAAACAACAGTAAAAAGAAGGGACCACTCTTGGCTGCAGAGACAGGGTGAGTGTTTTCTCGCCATGAATTCCAATCCTTTCCTCCAGACCAGCTGCTTATTGCCTCAGGAGCCCAGGGAATGTTGATTCTGGCTGCAAATGTAGGAGGGGTGAAGTACGGAAAAGGGGGAAGAGGAGGAAGAGTGCAAAGTAGCCTCCAGAAGCAGCCAGCCTCAACAGCAGAGGAGAGGATGTTAGTCTTTAACAATGCTTCAAGGTCAGCAGTAACTTCAGGAAAATCCTCCTCAACAGTTCTCTTCTGCTCCTCATGCCCGTGGTACAGTTGGGGGGGAGGGGGGGGGAACTTGCCAGCAATCACAACCTCCTTCCCAGAGTTCCTTTGATTGAGTGGGATAAGAATGAGAATGGTGCTGGACCCTCATTGCCAGGACTGAGGGGGAAAGTTGTTCACCTCTGCTAGATCTTGCATTGCTGAGCCCTTGTGATTATATGTGAGCTTGATCCTCATTCGCAGCTGTTGCTGTAAAGGAAAAGAGACTCATAAATATGTTCTAATAAAATCTTTCTCTATTGGTCCAGTCGACAAATACAATTTTGTTTGATTCTTTTGTGGGGTTTTTGTTGTTGTTCTTTTGGAGACAGGATCTCACTACCTTGCATAGGCAGGCTCCAAACTCCTGGGCTCAAGCTATCCTCTGCCTTAGCCCCCTCACTAACCAGTTCTGCTCCATCACACTTTGCTCTTTAAAGTGGTTTTTAATTTTAGAAGCCAAAAAAAACCCACAAAACTTCAAAACAAAGCCACATCTTACAACTAACATACAATGCTGGTCACTAGTGGCTCACACCTGAAATCCTAGCTACTCAGGAGGCTGAGATCTCAAGATTACAGTTTAAAGCCAGGCCAGGTAGAAAAATCTGATAGTCTTCTGTTAATTAGCCTGAAAAAAAAAAAAAGAAACTGAAAGTGAGCCAAGCACCAATAGCTCACACCTGTAATCCTAACTACTCAGGAGGCTGAGATCTGAGGATCGCAGTTCAAAGTCAGCACACAGGCAGGAAAATCCGGGAGACTCCTATCTCCAATAAACCACCAGAAAAGCACAAGTGGCACTCTGGCTCAAGTGATAAAGTGCTAGCTTTGAGTTGAAAAGCTGAGGGACAGCATGCAGGCCCACAGTTCAAGCCCCACACCAACAAAAAAGAAACCTGGAAGTGGAGCTGTGATTCAAGTAGTAGACTATTATTCAAGCTTTGGGCCAAGGAGTCACAACATGTAATCTAGTAAAGTGCATTTCCAGAACATATCATGGGCCTAGAAGTACAATAAAAGGACATAGCCACTTATAAGCATTGTCCTACTAATACTTGCTGAGTATTTTTTTAAAAGATCTAACTCTTACACTCCAAGTCCCTACAAAAATAAGGTAACCACATACTTGTCTTATGCTCTATGTTCAGGTATACTGTTAATTTGTTTACAAAATCAATATTAAATATGAACATAAACTTTTCTGTTCCCAAAGAGGAAAAGAGAAAAAGCTAATTAATAAGTGAAAGTCAAGCCGGGCACCGGTGGCTCAAACCTGTAATCCTAGCTACTCAGGAGGCTGAGATCTGAGGATCACAGTTCAAAACCAGCCTGGGCAAGAAAGTCTGTGAGATTCTTATCTCCAATAAACGACTAGAAAACTGGAAGTGTCACTGTGGCTCAAGCAGTAGAGTGCTTGCCTCGAGCTGAAAAGCACAGGACAGTGCCCAAACCCAGAGTTCAAGCCCCATGACCGACCAAAAAAAAAAAAAAAAAGAAGTGACAATCACTGTTTTAGAGAACACACTTACTAAGTATATTTTACTTTCTGAGGTAAATTTCAATGTTAATATACTAAGAAAATATTTATTCCAGGGATCAGATGGTCAAAGGAATTTGTGCTAGTACTAACGGCACAAATACAGTAAATAGCAGAGGAAATACAAAGGGGAGGAAAGTATAAAATCTTTATGAAGAATTACTAGAGATCTTCCAAGGTGAAGAAATCTTTTACCCAGCATACTGATTTACTGGAAGTCCAAGTTGGAGAATCACCAACCTAGGCAAAATGTGAGATCCTCTTCAGAAAATAATGACTGCAAAAAGAGCTGGGGCATGGCTCAAGTGGTAAAGTGTCTGTTTACCGTACATAGCAAAGCCAAGTTCAAATCCCAATAACAAAAAAAGAAAAAGAAAAAGTTTCTCTGAATTGTTTTCAGAAAGTTTCAAATAAGTTGGTTTTAAATAAAACCAACTTACTTTTGGGACAATATAGCAAAAATATCGCTCAATTACAGTTTCTAAAGCTTTGACTGCTTCTTTTAAAATGATTTGGCTAGGTTTATAATCTTAGCTACTTGGGAGAAGAATCAGGGACCAGAGACTTAATTTCAACCAGTGACCATCTACTTTCATCCCAAGCTATAAAGTAATAAGTACAATGTCTAGGTTGAGGTTCAAAACCAGACTAGGCAGAAAAGTCCATGAGACTTTTATCTCCAATTAACCATCAGAAAGCTAGAAGTGGAGCTGGGGCTCAAGTAATAGAGCACTAGACTTGAGGAAAAAAATGTCAGGGACAGTGCCCAGACCCTGAGTTCAACCCCCGGACAAGCACAAAAAGAAAAAGAAAAAAAAACCCAAGCAGTGCAAAAAGGGGCCCCATGGAGTGGCTCAAGTGGTAGAGTGCCTGTCTAGGAAGCACAAGACCTGAGTTAAAACCTCAGTACTAAATAAGTTAGTTAATTGAAGAATCCACTTTTGCCATCCATATTTAGCAGTTAAAGCAATAAATATGAGTATTATAACAAATCTTTCCTCAGATTTCAACTTTTTTGTTGGTTATGATACTTGAACTCAGAGCCTGAGTGCTTTCCCCAAACTCTTTTGCTCAAGGCTAGTGCTCTACGACTGTGAGCCACAGCTCCACTTTTGGTTTTCTGGTGGTTAACTGTAGGTGAGTGTCTCAGACTTTTCTGTTCAGGTTCGCTTTGAACTATAATCCTCAAATCTCAGTCTCCTGGGTAGCAGCTAGGATTACAGGTGAGTGAGCCACCAATGCCTAGCAGATTTTAATTTTTGCATAGATCTAATAGTCTAAGCTTGCCCTTCTCCAAAAAATATACCTTTAATCCTCAAAAATAGAGGAATTTGTCTGCCAAGCACTGGTGGCTCACTCCTATAATCCTAGCTACTCAAGGGGCTGAGATCTGAGGATTGTACTTTTCTCTCATTAACCAACCAGTCCAGGCAGCAAAATTTGTGAGACTCTTATCTCCAACTAACCACCAGAAAACTACAAGTAGAGCTGTTGCTAAAAGTGGTAGAGCACTACCCTTGAGCAAGAGAGCTCAGGAACAGCACCTAGGCCCTTTAGTTCAAGCCCTAGAACTGACAAAAAAATAAAATAAAAAATAGAGAATATCATTAAAACATTTGATATCTTGGACTTGATCTATTTTCTACAAAAGAACAAAGAAGTTGCACCAGACATTTTCATAATTTTTGACTGAATCAAAAGAACCCAGAGAAACAAAGCTAAAGTTTATTTTAGGAGTTTATGTCTTACTCAGATACTGGCTTCAACTGTGCTACTCACCTTCTGTGGGTTCAGAACTTTAATAACTTGTGTGATGGTTCCTGTATTAAATGCTGGGACAATGCTGCTGCTGGGAGATAGAAGCTGCAGCTGGAATGTCTATAGAGGAACAAAGGGCACTATTTAGAAAAAGGAATACACAATGTTAAATCCACGTTGTCATCATCTAAAAAGTTAAACATGCCAGGTGCCAGTGGCTTACTCCTGTAATTGTACAAGTCTAAGATCTGAAGATTGTGGTTCAAAGCCAGACCAAGCAGGAAAATCTGAGACTCTTAAGTCTCCAACTAATCACAAAAAAAGCCAGAAATGGCACTGTAGTTCAAGTGGTAGAGCACTAGCCCTGAGCAAAAGGTGCATAGGAACAGCAATCAAGGCCCAGAGCTCAAGCCCCAGGACAAAGAAAGGAAGAAAGGAAGAAAGAAAAGATGAAAGAAAGAAAGGAAGGAAGAAAAGAAGGAAGGAAGGAAGAAAAGGAGGAAAGGAAGAAAGAAGGAAAGGAAGAAAGAAAGAGAGAGAGAAAGAGAGAGGGACGGAGGGAGGGAGGGAGGAAGGAAAGGAAAGGAAAGGAAAGGAAAGGAAAGGAAAGGAAAGGAAAGGAAAGGAAAGGAAAGGAAAGGAAATGGAATGGAAAGGAAAGGAAAGGAAAGGAAAGGAATGGAAAGGAATGGAAAGGAAAGGAAAGGAAAGGAAAGGAAAGGAAAGGAAAGGAAAGGAAAGGAAAGGAAAGGAAAGGAAAGGAAAGGAAAGGAAAGGAAAGGAAAAAGGTACATAACCTGGCTGTTAAGCCAAATAACAAATTTATCCTAAGTTTTGCATATTTATTTTCCAGACACCAGAAATAGGTAAGCATATGAGCACAGCTGTCACAAATTGTATTTGTAAAAAGTCTGTATTAGGCCTTTGATCATGAAAACTAGAAACAGGTTACTCTGCCCTTCTTTTCAAATAGTGACCAATTCTTGTTCTGGCACCTTCACTTAGTAGTAACTTATCAACCATACAAGAAAAAAAAAAAAAAACAACGGGTGCCTGTGGCTCTTTTAAGGGTGAAAAAAGCCAGAAAGAAACCAAAAGAAAATTTTTCCAAGAATAACAAACCAACATACTAGTCATCAACAACAGGACCTTATGCTTTTGTATAACTGAATGACTAGGCCCCAAAGACCTGAACTTTTTTTCTTATAAAGCCTGCACAATCTGGAATGGGTCAAGGCCTCCCTCTATGTGAGAGGCCTGAAAGAGCCAGCTTGTTAATATGTAAGTGGAACACATCAGGATTGCTCTAAGACAGACACAGAAAAAGTACATGTAGAATGTGTCTGTATGGCAAAGAATCTAGATGAGTGAAACACCATAATTTGTTGAGTACTGATGAATCTTATTTTTTAGCAAAGATGAGGAATAAAATTGCTACCAACAAGTTAGGCCAACATTAGTATGCAAAGTAGTTGTTATACATACTGCGATTTAAAACACTTTATCTGAGAGAGAAAGACAATGACAGAACCAGAAGTCCTCTCCAAAGTCAAAAATTACAAGTGAATATTCAACCTCACAAAATAGACTATTATTTGGAATCTTACTCATAATTCTATTTTTAGAGTGAATTATGTACGTTAAAACGTCATTCATTACCACTACATTGCATTAAATTTAAAATATCAACTTTAATTCTTATTATTTTATGTATTACTAACAAAGATTAGACTGGCTCATTTAACAAGGACAATTTCAGAGACATTAAAAAACATTACCCGACTTACGTAACTGTAACCCCCTCAGTATTATCATCTTTATAATTTTTTAAAGAAAAAGTAAAAACCACTAGGCTACAGTAGCTAATACTTACTGAGCACTAAATATATGGAAAGTGCTTCCATTAGTTCCTAGCACAAAAATTCACTTATTCTGGGATTTGTAATCCTGGGAAGTAGATTATCTAGGAAGCAGTTGTCATTATCACTACTCCCACTGTAAGGAAGCTGAGACACTAGGTTAAGTGATTGCTCCATGTCATAACTAGCATCAAAATGCAACAATAGCACTAGAATTCACTTCTGGATCTTAATCACTTCACATTAAATTTTGAAAAATAGCTACATCATTGCAGCTTCAAAAAGAAGAAGGTAGCAAAGAAGGTAGGAAGTTAGCAGTAACCACAAATAAAACATCTTCAATTCCTAAAAGCATGTCACCTGAATGCCATACTTCGGGTCATTGCAAAGACTGAGCAAGCTCAGTCTAATCCAGTGATTGACAAAGTATGGCCTTACACCTGTTTTTATAAATAATCTTTTATTGGAACAGAGCCATACTCATTTTATTTACTTATTGTCACTACTGGTTTCTGTATTATAACAGAAGTACTGGGCAGCAAAAGATATAAAGTAAAATAAGTAATGTCTTTTTGTTGATGTTGTTGGTCATGGGGCTTGAACTCTAGGCCTGGCTCTATCCCTGAGCTCTTCAGCTCAAGGCTAACACTCTACCACTTGAGCCACAGTGCCACTTCCAGTTTTCTGGTGGTTTATTGGAGATTAGTCTCACAGACTTTCCCACCTGGTCTTTGAACCACGATACTCAGATCTCAGCCTCCTGAATAGCTAGGATTATAGGTGTGAGCCACTGGTACCCGGCTAGTAATGTTTTTTGTTTCCTTGTTTTTTGTTGGTCATGGGGCTTGAACTCTGGGCCTCAGTGCCATCCCTTAGCTCTTCATCTCCAGGCTAGCACTCTACCACTTGAGCTACAGCCACTTCCAGTGGTACATTGGAGATAAGAGTTTCACGGACTTTGCTGCCCAGGCTGGCTTTGAACCCAGATCCTCAGATCTCAGCCTCCTGAGTAGCTAGGATTAAGGCATGAGCCACCAGCGCCCGGCTAGTAATGTTTTTTGTGTTTTTTTTTTTGTTGTTGGG